TATACTAAGAAGTTGACTTCTGTTTCTGTCTTGTAACTTCTCAATTTAGTCACACAATAACGAGGTGACGTTCTATTCAATGCTCCGGAAGTATAACGTGCAGAATGTTATTCGGCCAAAGGTTGTTGATAAATGCATTGAAGAAGCCCTTTTCATACAGTTTTTCAAGGTGTACCATATGAGAATGTTCTCAGAAGAAAATCCGCTGAAAGCATATATTATTATGGACTACATTCCAGGCAATCTAATGTATCATATATTTGATAATTTCGAACCGCAGGATCTCCTACAGGTAAATGAAAAATTAGATCGCTTGAATTATGCTAGCTACTATAGGCGCTTCGAAACATCGCGGCACTTGAAGCTGCCTCTCTCAAATTCACCGAAGAAGACAAATCGCTCTTCATAAAAGACATATTCAGTGAGATGTTTGCGAAGGTTATGGACGAAGAGGTGAGCATCATGCGTTGAAAGTGGAACGTACGATTGTGAGAAGTAACAGTAAACACCACAGTGATTTACGAACCGTTTGATTCATACTTTTTAGCGAAAATGTTTGCTAACTTGGTACTGTAATCGTTTGGAAAATGTGTCTACCACCTTATAGGAAATTTGAAGATTGCTTTGTACCCAACTTGTTTCAAGACTCGTCAATCCACTAAGTTTACTACCCATGTAAAACACTCTTAAAATTCATACTCATTCTATGTGTGGAGGGAGCTCCTATCCCTTCTTCACCTCCCCTCCTCCCGCCCCCTCCCAGCTCCAGCTTAGCCCGTCAACATAATGCAGCTACTTGAGACTTTTACTTCGGAAGAAAATATGCCAAATACAAAAAAGCTGCTTCTTATATCTTTATGGTAGAAGTATCAAGAGATCGTAGAAGGCTAAATTATATGATTGTACTTATCAAGCTTTGCCTTACAGAGCTACTTTCGGAACTCCAGAATTGCTTCAGCAGGAACATGTCGATTTTTGTTGTCTCGATCTCCAACCACAGAAAAAAATACTGCAAGCATGTGCATTGATGTTAGTAAATGTATCCTACATACTGATTGACTAAGCATGCTAAAAAAAATTTGAGCAAAGATATGATTCGGATTTTCTCAAGTTGCTGTGAACTGTAATGCGACAACACAGAACTTTCGCGTCAACCATGAGATTTTCTTACAATTACTAACGTTTTCGACTGTTCAACTTGAGACTACAGCTTTCTGAAATATGCCATGGTTTGATAAAAATTAATTAAAGCTTTCAGCAATACTATTTGTACATTAAGCCTTTTGCTACTTGAGTCACTAAATTACATACATTGATTTGTGCAAAAAAAACTTAGAATTTCGAACATGAAGTGCTAAGGCCGACCTAATACTCCAAAAATCTGTTCTCCTGGAGCATCAGAATTACCTCAAAGTTGATTTTCTATGAGAGGACTTCGAATCGCTAAAGCTCTGAAAGGTTTCATACATATCTGCCTTTGTCGTATAAATCATAGTCGAAAGAGAAATTGGCAAAATCACTAAAGAAGAAAAAGCGCTAAAGAAGACATTTTGTGACTTCAAACAGTAGATAAGCAGCTGTAGGTATTAAATTGTTGTTCAAAGTCTGCTCATAAATGATGAGGACCAAAGTAGATTTGCAACATTGACAGTATCTAGCAGACAGGAATGAAAGGCCAAGAATATTGATTTATTTGGAACATTTAAAAAAGTATAGAACTATTCTTATCAGATACATGTACGTTTTTTATAATCGTTGCAGGTGAAAATTTTTTTT